GCCTGTCCTAGGGAAGGGGGCGTGACCCTTGTCCTGGGAAAGACCCACAGAGCACTCCTAGGGGGTACCCACCCTGCTGAGTTGTTTGTCTGCAAATAACAGGAGAGGTCTGCCCAGCCAGGTGTCCCTGACTCAGCTAGGCTAGGTGAGGGCCCACAGCAACCCCCTGGCAACCTCCAATCAGCATGAGACAGGGAAATAGCTGGGCCGCCAGGTGACCCCAGCAGTTTATGGGGTTGATAACATGTTGGGAAACCACTCAGTTCAGCAGTACTCCCCTCGTGGCTTAAACCAGTCACTTGAAATGAATCCCCCTCTGTACTAACCCATCACCTACCCATCTTGTTCCCGCCAGTGAATGTGCTGATCAATGTTCAGAGCTGTTGTTTGGGCTGGGATGTGGCTCAAGCGGTAGTGTGCTCGCCTGGTGTGCGTGAGGCACTGGCTTTTATTCTCGGCACCCCACTAAAAATGAAATAAAGATATTTTGTGTTCACCTAAAACTGAAAAAATAAATGTTAAAAAAAAAAAAAGAGTTGTTGTTTGACTTTCCCGCGCCCTGGGACCGTGCGCTGGGATGGTGGTGAGTCCAGGCTCCAGTTTGCAATAAAGAGTCTTGTGTGGTTGCATCAGATTCGGCTCCTGGAGGTCTATGGGGTCCCACGAACCTGGCATGACACTGGGAGCCTGGCTGAGCTGTAGGGCACCCCTGAGTTCAGTTCCCAGGGTCACAAAACATTTTTTACTTTGGGGGGTACCAGGGATTGCACTCAGGGGCACTCAACCGACCACTGAGCCACACCCCAGCCCTGTTTTGTATTTTATTTAGAGACAGGGTCCCACTGAGCTGCTTAGTGCCTCGCTTTTGCCGAGGCTGGCTTTGAACTCGTGATCCTCCTAACAGCCTCCGGAGCCACTGGGATCAAAGAACACTTTTTATTGTTCACCCTTGAATCTTTATTTTATTTATTTTATGGGGTGATGAGACTGGAACCCAGTGCCTCACACATGCTAGGCAAGGGCTCTACCCCTGAGCCCCAGCCCCAGCCCCTATTGCTTACCCTTAGGACAATATTTTACTTAGAAACAGGGTCTCACTGAGTTGCTTGGCACCTCACCTTTGCTGAGGCTGGCTTTGAACTCACCATCCTCCTGCCCCAGCCTCCTGAGCTGCTGGGATGACAGGCGTGCCCACCGTGCCCACCGCACCCTGCCAACTGAGCTGTTGTGTTGTTTGGAGAAGGAGACTTTCTCTGTTTCCCAGGCTGCTCTTGGATTCCTGGGTTCCAGCGATCCTCCTGCCTCAGCCTCCTCCTAGAAGCTGGGTCTCCAGGTGCCACCAGGCCCAGCTAGAGTAAATAGTTGTGTCCTTGCTGGACAACAGAACTGTCCGCTCCCTCTTCCCTGCTGGTTCCGTGTCCCTCAGCTTTGCGAGGCTGTGACTGAAGCACCTGATTAGCACACTTAGAAGAGGAAAAGGCTATTTTGGCTCATGGTTTCAGAGGTTTGGTCTGTGGCGGGCCAAGTCCACTGCTGGGGGAGACAGGAGGAGAGGTAGCGCCAGGAGGAAGAGAACTGCTCGGCTCCGTGGCCGGGAGCAGAGACAGAGAGGGGAAGGGAGGTGCGGGGGGAGGCGCCCTCCAGGGCACCCCCGTGACCGCCTGCCTCCCGGCACACCCCACCTGCCCACGGTTACCACCAGTGGGTCCACTTGAACCATGCTGGACTGGTTGGGCTCACCTCTGAACACTCCTGCACTAACAGGAGCTCGGGGGCACCTCTGGCGCCCCACAGCACCCCTCATCTTTGTTCCCGCGGGGACCTGGACTCTCCCACTCTTTCTCCAAGGAATTGCGGACCCTCTACCCATCTCCCCAGGGGACTCTGCCGCCCCTCGTTTCCCCCTGAGCACCCCTGGAGCCTGCTCTTTGCCAGGTTCCCAGCTGGTCCTGGACACATGGGCAGTGCCAACACGTGAGGGGAGCCGGTCCCCGGGGGGGGGGTGCAGGGAAGGCCTCTTACGGCAGGACACCTCTGGGACCCCCAGAGCAGGCTCCGAGGCTCCACCTCCTTCTGGACCCGTGTCTCTGCCTGCCCACCTGTCACTGCTGAGACTCAAGTCCTGCCCCGGGGGTGATCCTCAGGCACCCCTCCTGGGAAGGCGCCACTGGGAAGCCAGATACCCCCAAGTGCAAGCCTGGTTCCCAGCCATGACTCAGGCCTCCAGAAATAGAGCTGAGCTGCTGCATACATGGAAGGAGGTATTTTAAGGAACTGACTCATGTGACTGTGTGGGCTGGCAAGCCCCAGGTCTGCAGGGCAGGCGCCCGGGAAGAGTGGATGGCAGCTCACATCCACAGGCAGGCAGGCAGCGCGCGGGGCACAACTCCCCTGGGGGGCTCCCGTGTTCATAGGACTTTGCTTGGAGGGGGCCTGTCCTGTTGGGATGGAGTCTGCTGTGGGGGAGACAGACTGAGTTTGACTCTGAAGAGTGCAACCAGGAAAACTGGGAATTCGTACTCTAGGAGCAGGGACAAGGGGCAGGGAGCGGAAAATTACCACGAGGAAGCATCAGCCTCAGCCGCGAGGGGAGTTGTGGCTAGACCCAGAACCAGGCTCCTGCAGAAGGCGGCTGGGGGGTGGGGAGGAGTCTGATCAGACAGGAAGAGCGATCCCAAGGGAGGACAGGTGTTTCTGGCTAAACGGACTTGGCAGGATTTTTTTTTTTTTTTTTTTTTAATCCTGGGCTCGACAAGGAAGAATTTGGGAGCCCAAGGTCAAGCCATAAAAGAGGGAGGAGCCTGCCCAAAGTTTGGTCAAGGAGAGAGTCCTCCTCAGGCTAGAGATAAAATCACAATGGTGGAGAGATGGTGGCGTGTTTGGGATTCCAGAACCCAGCCACACTTCTTCCCAGGAAGAACGGGAGTGTTCTAATAAGCTGGGTGGAAGAGTCTTTTTTTTTTTTTTTGGGTACCAGGGATTGAACTCAGGGGCCTCCACCACTGAGCCACACCCCAGCCCTGTTTGTGTTTTATTTGCAGACACTGAGTTGCTTAGTGCCCAGCTTTGAGCTGAGGCTGGCTGTGAACTTGTGAGCCTCCTGTCTCAGCCTCCCGAGACGCTGCAGATGCCAGGCGTGGCCACCAAGCCTGGCTTGTAGGAGACTGGTTTTATAGGTTGGTAACAGCTGAAAGAAAAGCCTGCAAAGACCCTGTGTGGAAAGGTCACCTCGAGATATGCTCCTGGTATGCCAGGTACAGTGGCCACATCTGTCATTCTGGGGACTCCTGCAGGGTCCCAAGTTCAAGGCCAGTCTGGGAAACTTAGACCTGGTCTCAAAATAAAAAATGAATTGCACTTTGAATATCTCACTTCTGTAGGATGCAGCTCGGTGGTAAAGTGCCCCTGGGTTCAATCTCCAGTACCAAAAAAGAAAAATAGAAAAAAAAAGTTGACATAGGTCGCTGCAGTTCACTTTTCCTGTGAGTGCTGCTGGGGACTGAGCCAGGTGCTCTACCACTGAGCCACACCCCAGCCCTTTCTGTCTGGGGACCGGGTCTGGCTCAGTTGCCCAGAGTGGCCTGCCACTTGCTGCCTGCTGCCTCAGGCTTCCCAGTAGCTGAGGTCACCATGGGTGCGGCCACCACACCTAGCTTTGCAGATAACTCTTATTAGATCAGGACTGGGGCAGAGGAACCTCAGGGTTGTGCTGACCGAAACCAGGCAGTTGGGGAAATTGAGCTCTTATCTCTTCTCTCCAGTTTTCTGGGAAGGTCACATAACAACTTAGTTTTCCTTTGGCCAAGTGAACTTTAGAGATAGTGATCCGTTTTGAGCTTTAACCTGGTCCGTTGGTGCCCAGGGCAGGAGCTTACTCCAAAACAAGGGCCTCCTACTATCATTTTTTATTTAAGAGGCTAACCTCTTAAAGTCCACTGATTTAAATTGAATGTTAATCTCATTAAAATTTAAGATATCTTCTTGGGGCTAGGTGTGGCTCAGTGGTGGAGCACTGGCCTAGAACTTGTGAGGTCCTAGGTTCTTCTACAGCACCTCTCACACAAGACAACTTTTAAGGTGACATCTAGAATATGCTTGAGCTGGGTGCAGGGGCAAGCCTGTCAGCCCAGCAGCTGTGGAGGCCAAGAAAGGAGGATGGCAAGTTAGAGGCCAGCCTCCATAACTTATTGAGGGCCTGTCCCAAAATAAAACAAAAAGTCGCAGTGGGTGCAGTTCAGTGGTAGCACGCCTCTGGGATCAATCCCCAGTTCCCCACAAGAAAAGAAAGTAGAAAGGCACTCATTTTATTCACTGGGCCAGTACTGAGTGTGCAGCGGCTGGTACCCAGAATGATGAATAAGCGGCATTACTGAGGGTGTCTTGTGCCTGCAGCTGGGGTGGACCCCTGCATTCGGGGTTCCACACTGAAGACGGACTCAAGTTGCAAATTGCGGGATGTGGGGAGGCGGGATTCGAACTCGCCACCTGACGGGCCTGCCCGCAGGATTTCCCGGGGTCCCCGCTTCCGGCCGGCGGGGGCATGCGAGGGCAGCCGAGGACGTGCCAAGGAGCGTGCGTGCCTGCGTGATCACGTGCGGACGGGCGAGCCCATGGGGCCGCGCGGGCACAGGGGTG